TCGAGATATCAGCGGATGAATAAACGCGCTCCAGACAGAGGGAAAGTGACACAATGCGCCAGGGAAACGACTAGAAAACGCATCGCCATCCGGCAAGTGACGCGGTGTTTGCTCTAACGTCGGAAGACAAATTATAACGCTCGGCTGGGTATTTGTCGTTATCCGATCTCGAGCCTTGTTATCGGGAAACGTAATTGGATATTTTTATGTCTTCAACAGTTGAGGATTTCCACGCATAGTTTCTCATTTTCACGGTCCGCTCTCCACTTTCCAACTACCGATACGTGTGGAAATTCATTTACCAGCGAAAACAAGAGGCAAAAACTGAACGAAAAGAAAAGACGGGACGAGCGTACGAGCCTCGCTGTTTCTAAACACGCCGATTTCCCGTTTCCAACCGATCCGTATCCGAGCGCAATCGACTACGAAGTTTTCGATATATCGAGGAACAGAACAGATTCACAGAGATCTGTGAAATAATATTTTTTTGTCGGGACGTAGCGCGATATTCGGGAAACTTGCAGGAGTCTTTTATGAATATATTTTTATGAATCTCAACGTTTCGTTAATATTGTAGTGAAATTCGATTTTATCAAATTTGAAAATATATATATAAATTACAAGATATTTAATAAGTACGTCGCAGAGAACAGAGAAATAGTTAAACAATCGTAATTCATTGCATCGACAAATCTCAATATTCAATGGAACCAGATACTTATTACCAGGCTGTGGATTTTTATACATTTTTAGATGTTCATGAATGTAATTAAAGAAATGGAATTTAAATAGAAGATCGGTTCCTCTAAACAGGATTGTAATTAATAATCTTCTTTGGATATTTTTACATATTTTATATTATTATTATATTATTTTTATATATTTATATTATTCTATTATTTTATATATTTTATATATTTTATATATAAAAATATATTTTATACTTTGTGTGCAATTCTGCATAACTGCACAAAAATCCGCACTTTGCTTGTTACATACTTAAAGTCACAATTCATTTCTTAATAAATATATGTTTTTAAGAAATGTCTTGTTAATTTTTATATGACATTGCATTCAATGAAATTTCAAAATTTTTTATACAACACGCGTAATAATACTGCGTACAAAAGTTCTTCTGTGATAAGCATTTCATAAACCACCTAACATGTATGTACATTTGATGGAAATACGAGATGATTTGCTTCATACGGTTCGAGATTTATCTCGAAATTTTTCGAGAGACAGATATGTATTGCGATGGGTAAAAAAACTTGAAACAACATAAGCGAAATAATGCATCATAATTTCACAAAGCAAAATTACACTTGACCAACATGTGAAAATGCACACACGTTGGTCAAAGTATAAAAGTTACGTTATGTATTTAAACTTCCTTCTGCTCATCATGTATGTTTAATGATGTTATTAACAAGTTGCTAATTTTGACGTACGTCTGTGGTCGTTAAAAGTAGCTCAATCGAGTTTGTTTCAGCACGATAAACAACCGTAGTTGTAGGCAAGTGGACGCGACGAGGCCAGGAGTTCGAGGAATGACGACAGCTGCGTATGAATTTATAAAATTTTAATTTAGCCGCTTAATTAATCTTTCTCGCGAGACTGGCGGGATAATATGTTCCAGAGTAACAAGGACGTTTTTTTTTCTTTTTTACGAAAGACTTTGTAAAGTTTGTTACATTTACACGTGTCAGCAACGAGCTATGTTTTGCAATACTAACTTCGTCATATTAAAAGATAGAGTTATTACCTCACATTCAATTTTTCTTGTTAATTTTTTTGAATCGCCGTTTTAATATTAATTTTTCCATATTAATTTTCTTAAATTAATGCCCTTTTTATGTTAATTATTAAAGAAGAAACTTTTCTCGAAAGATTTTATTTATTATTATATGTATTATTAAAGATTTTAATATATTCCTAGATTCTGACGAAACGTCTTTTATATAAACGTCTATATATATATATATAATTTTATTATTATATATATATATATATACACTACATTTTAATCTTTTCTCTTTTTTAATTTAAAAACACTATACGATTCTCGCGTTAATTATTAAACAAACGAAACTCATTTTCGTCGCAAATGTTGTGAAATTTCAACGAAACGTCTTTCGCACGGTCGTTTCAATTTTTGCCGCCTCCTAAATTTGAAAATATTACAGTTCCTGCCACCGTGCCAATTATCAAAGTAGAAATTTGTCTCGAAAAGTTGCGACTTTCCGTTCCAAACATCCCAGATAGTTTGATGGAACGTCACTCGTTTTAAACGGGACATTCGCGTGATTTCCCCGCGCTGTCGTTCGCCCCCATTATTTTCTTCTCAATTATGCACGAACACCAGCGAATTATCGTACGAACCTCCGCGTCGTTGATCGATACGTATTTCGTAATATATTTATGCCCTCCTCGAAAATTCATTTTACTGTACACGAAATTACCGCCGGTCTGTTTCGGTGCGACGCTTTTAACGAAATTGAATCCCTCGGAGAAAGGAATACCAAAGAAACTTCCGAACTGTTCGTCTACGAATCATTTCCCCCCTTTGGCGTTGATTTGATCTTTTCGCGCCTGTTAATTACTTTAAAAATATCGACATTCGTTTTCCATAAAGACCAGTGACGGGAATTTTCATTCCGCTTTTTGCTCATTTTTTCTTCGGCCTTTTGACGAATTAATACCGACAAAGGTAACAGCGTCGAATCAAAACGTGAAGAGATTCCCCTTGGTAAAAGTCACTGGTTTACAAATTAAGTCCCTTGCCTAATTAACCCGTATTATCCCGGATCGTGCAGACGGAGAAATCCCGTGTTAATTTAAATTATAAACCAGGCGTAAAAGTAATTTTACACTTTTTGAAACGAGGCAAGGGGTTGATCCTCGCTCAGACAACGTCTGTATCACTCTTATCTAACACAGTGCTGTATAAAATAACGTAACGTAGTGTAATACAATTATAAAATATTTGCATTTTTGTCATTACGTTCTAATCACGTTGTTGAACGACATTTAATATCCAAAAATTAATTTCTTTGCAGCTATATATAATGGAAATTTTAATATGGCCATTTATGCTTGGTTATATTATTGCAGGTTAATGAATGTGCGTTGAAAAGAGCTTGAGAAAAATATCATCTGACGGATCTTTATAGACAATAATATCTCGTACCGTTTCGTTCTCTTTTTGAAATAGGTGTATTTGTCAATAGTTGAAAATATCTGAACATTTACGAATGTATATCTTGCGTTCCAGAAAACTTGGAGCTTCATTGACGCTACAACGAGATACGACTCAAGTTTCATTAATACAATTACGACGCCTGTCTCATTACAATGTTAATGAAATTTCAAACTGTGTTATATCGCACCTCACTACATTGTGAACTTTCGTAAGTCGCTATATACATATTTTCTCATGAATTTAAACTTCCCTAGAATTTTTAATACACCTGCCTCCCATCTTGAAAATTTATATTCAAACTCGAATTATGCATTAAGGAATATTGCTCGGCGTACACGTTCACCGCGTAAAGATCTTGAAAAAGATCTCCGACATAAGAATTTTCGATGAACTCTTAATAAAAGAATTTCATTAAAATATTTCAAAAATATCCCCGATGACTACCAATCTGCTAATCAATTTCCAATAAGCACGAGACTCTCTCAATAAATTCTTAATGAAAGAATTTCAATAACAAGTTTCAAAAATATCCTCCTATTAATCAACGAATTCTTTTGTTAATAAAAACCTTCTCCTTCATTCAGAACTATTTTGTTGCTCATGAAAATAAATATTCGAGAGAAACTACGAATCGCAATAAATTCTCAACAAAGGAATTTCAATAAAATATTTCAAAAATATCCGCGACAATTTTCAACCTACTGATCAATTTCTAAAAAAATTCTTCTCTTTGACTGAGAACCCAGATCTTATTGCCCGTAAAAAAAAAAAAAAGGTATTCGTAAGAAACTACTGGCCAACGAATTTTCTAATGAGCAGAAGAAAATCACAGAGTAAATTCTCGGTAAAGAATTTCAATAAAGCGTCTTAAAATTATCCTCGACAATTTTCAACCTACTGATCAATTCCTAAAAAAATTCTTCTCTTTGACTGAGAACCCAGATCTTATTGCCCGTAAGAAAAAAAAAAGGTATTCGTAAGAAACTACTGGCCAACGAATTTTCTAATGAGCAGAAGAAAATCACAGAGTAAATTCTCGGTAAAAGAATTTCAATAAAGCGTCTTAAAATTATCCTCGACAATTTTCAACCTACTGATCAATTCCTAAAAAAGTTCTTCTCTTTGACTGAGAACCCAGATCTTATTGCCCGTAAAAAAAAAAAAGGTATTCGTAAGAAACTACTGGCCAACGAATTTTCTACTGAGCAGAAGAAAATCACAGAGTAAATTCTCGGTAAAAGAATCTGAATAAAACGTCTCAGGGAAATATCAGCGATCTAGTGATCAACGAATTCCCAAATAAAATAATAAATTCCACTCCGTGATCGTAGGAGCATCCTGTTGGTCCCGTATAGAAAGTATATTCGAAAGAAACTATCACGTACTGACCTCAGAGCTGGTGGAAGTGGTGCTATCGGCGCTGTCGGTGTTGGCCACGGATGACAGCGGCGATCTGCGACCCCTTTGAGCCCATTTGTCCCTTATGGTCGCCACCCCGGTGACAACCCCGATCCTGCTAGCCGCGTTTCCGATCGACGAGTTCCCAGATTTCCCGCCGGCCTCGTTGCTGCCTCTGCCGCTTCCGCTTCCGCTGCTTCCACCACCGCTGCTTCCGCCTCTGCATGCTAGCTCCAGGACATCGCCCAGCACCTCTGACAATTTCCCCGGCACCTTGACGAAGGTGTCCAAGACCACTTGTCGAAAATAAAGGACGTCGGGGTCCTTCAAGGACCCTTTCTACTCTTCCTTTCTTTCCTGTCCTTTTCTATTGTCTTCTTCTTCTTCTTCTTTTTCTTTCTTTTGTCTTCGCGTGCTCGCGATAAAGGTCACGATAATTCCGACTGACGTTGCTTGATCCTCGTTCTCGAGGCTTTCACGGGAGGAGTCGATCGAGTTAAGGTCAGCCGACAGTCGACGTTCAACCTGGACTAACGTGAACGTAGCTGGTAAGACCACACCGCGGCGATAAAATTTCACGCGAGCCTCGTTTTCTCCCGCGTTCGCACCAGGAAATCAGCGTGTAGACGTACACGGTGACGATATGTTTCACGAAAGGAAGCTCGACAACTGAGAGAAAGGAAAAAAATCTCTGAAACTCCGCGCGAATGTATTTTATAGTTCAGGTGGTAAATTATTTTTTTTTCTTTAGGACTGCACAATTGAGACAACTGTTACAATATATATCACTGTACTATAATTACAAGACGTGGCCGCGGAGTGTGGAAGAGAAACGGAGAATTGTATCATGCGATACTCTGTAGCTGATTCACCCGGTCACGTGATCAGAGAAAGTGATTCTAAAGATGAGAACAATCTTCTGAAGAAATCGTGAAAATCTTTTTACATTACGTATCGTGAACAGTTCAAGACCGTGTAGGTTACAGAAAAAATTATTTTTTTGTAGTCTACATTATGATTGTAAAAATCAAAGAGAAATTTACGTTCCAACAATATCGCACGACAATTTTTAAGATATTAACCGAAAGATATATTTTCAATCGTTCCCCAGTGTCATCTTTTATGTATAAATTGCAGTTGAAATCGATTTTAGTAAAACGAAAGATAGAAACGTGGTCTGGTTGGCACAGCTGGTGTCGCCCAATTTTCAAGCTGGTGAATCGACGACGTGACTGTAATGTCGTGTAATTTTCACGATGGTAATGGCGGGACGTAAGTTTCAGTGGTTAGTAATCGATAAAACACAAGTTTCACATTTTTTACCTTTCCTTTTCTGATTTCCCCAGTTGTCAAACTTTTCTCGTAAGAAGGAAATATCGAGACAGAGTGGGATTGTTTGCTCCGTTTTGTTCCGATGGGTGAAACACACGACGATATCTCGAGAGAGTATCTCGAGACAAGATTCGAACGTTTCGATGGCAACGTACGAGATCTCCCGGGAAAAGCAGCATCGATATTGTCGACGAGTTCAAGAACTATCGCGGGAAGCCTCTCTCTCGATGGAGTCGTTCGATACGATTTCGTGGAATGAAAGGGCTCTGTACAAACGAACGTTGAAGTTTCTTCCGGATTTCTGTCTGCTATTTGAAGCAACTGACTTCCTCGTCGAATCGAAACAACCTCGCGCGATTCTACTCTTTGATGCGTTTAGCGGGGGAATTTGCTCGAGTTTGCCTGACGATTTTTCTTCGACGAATCGTGTTGAAATTCTATGACAGATCGCAGACACGAAGCAATCTCGAGTGTTTCTCGGTTAATCAGTTAATCTTTCTTCGACAAGATTGAAAACGTACGAGCTTTCAAATATAAGTACAGCGACTTCCCTTCCACGCGAGGACTATTTCGTTGGATGATATTTAATCTATTCGAATTTCAATTTAGACAAAACTGTTCCAAGATCTTCGAGTGAAACTGGTAAAATATTCAGTGTCACATTTGGACACACTCGTGCGAATGATACTTATTATCACCGAGACTTTATACTGGAATCGTTTCGTCTGTCAACTGAACTTTATTATTTAATATCTTGGTTATGAAAGAAAAACCAGGGATTTTCTTAATGTTTCTCTCGATATTATTCCTTCTCGCATCTAGATGATATTACAGAAACGAGAAGAAGTACACGCTGGAACTCTTGTTATAAAAAAAAAATCTGAATTTTTCCAACGTGCTGCCACGATCAGCAATCTCGGTTTAAGAAAGAAAATGCTGAAGAATAGACAACTCGTCACTTGTAAACGACATTTCCCATCGATTTCCCTGTGAAATCAAGATTCCGATACTTTAACAGCCGTTTTCGCTAAACACGAGGGATGAAACTCAATTCGAAAAGTTGGCGCAACAGCTCGCCTCCACCTTCGGTTGTTATTAGTCTGACGCGACAAACTCTGAAGGACAGACTCCGGTGGAAAAAAAAAAAAGAATTCGAAAACAAGATGGAAACTACCTGGGACGAAGGTCGAGCCAAAGTTTTCACGGAGAAATTCGCTCTTTTTCCCCTCTCTCGCGCGAGAACTTGACGGCAAGTTATCTTAATTAGCTACACGTACTTCAAAGTGTTGCTAGATAAAGCTACGTGTTCACTGGAGAGTAAAACTCCTTACCACTATGAGCTCTCAAGAGTATTTCCCGCAAATGGATACTGTTCTGAGAGTTACTGTCCGAGGGTATCGCTCAACTGTCTGAGAGCAAACGGACACAATATTATACTTCTCTCAGAGAGTTGTTCTCAGAATTCGAAACGGTTTTGAAATCCTGAGAATACTTTCGTGCGAACAGAACAATGAATAATAAAAAACGTGTGGTCAAAAAGTGAAATTGTCGAACTAACGTCTTTTAATTTAAATTATTATAATATTAAATTATTACAATAATTATATTATATAATAATATATAATTAAATATTTTATGATAATTAAATAATTTAAATTATTATTTAATTTAAATTATATAATTACATAATAATTTAAATATTATATATAAATGTTATTACAAATATAAATATTACATATTATATAATATTTAATTATGTAATAATTTAAATATTATATATAAATATTATTACACATAAATATAAATATTATAAATATTATATAATATTAAATCATATTAAATATTATATAATAATTTAAATTATTGAACTCTTCTTTTTATGTTGATTTTTATTTTTTCTTATGGGCAACTATGAGGCACACATTTTTTGCTCTCCATGACAGCGATATCACACTCGTGTTTCGAATTAAATTACACTACAGTGAGTAGGACCAGAGACAATGAACTCTCAAATGGACATTTCAAATGGACATCATGGATAGTAAGCTCTCGGAGAGTGAAAATTTTCAAAGCTGCTTTCAAAGGGACACAACGCTTGAGAGTAACTCTCGCGAGAAATTGTCGAATAGACGTAAGGCTTCAACGCAACGAGGACGAACATGTACAGATTCATGTTGTTTCGACGCGAAGATAACACTAGCCCCTGTTATTATCGATCTTCGGCAGCTGGCTTGCTTCGCAAGATGAGCATTCAGCCCGACACGCGAGAGAACCTCTAAATCTTCCTGGCTGGCAACCTTGAACACGCAGCTTCTTTCACTACAGAGGTTTTTCAAACGATGCTGCTCGGGCAGGATTAAATTAGCTTTCTATCAAGGATTTTCCAGGCGGCACTGGATACGCCAGTGTGTCCCATTTCCTTCTCCAGTTTCGATTTCCCTTTTTCATGCAGTGGCTTGTGAAACTGGTAGACCTCCGTCATCAGCGAGTGTATTGTACGCGCGTTTGTACGAGATCGTTTCATTAAAAATTCATTAACATCAGGATGAGACACGTGATCGTCGTGATTAAGTTTACAAACGTATATAGAAATTGTGAAATATATCTAATAAAAATACGTACGTACGTGTTACACGGAGATTGAAAGAATATTGTACACATTAAAGACCAACACTGCGACATTTAATTTTTGTTCAATCAACTTATATTACCAAATTCAATATTTTAGTAGCGCGGGATTATGCGAGGAAATATCAGGAATTTGGCATCTCAATATCTTTTCATCGTCACATCTTCGTCAACTTCAGTTTCTAGATTCTACAATTTCATGAAATTTATCGCTGACATTTTTAAATTACTACTCACGTTGTGCATTAATTTTTAACTTAACGTATGCTCGCAAAAATTCTTTTACATTCTACGCTAAAACCATTACCCACTTTTCTGAATTTCAATATAGGCAATAAATGTTAAATTGTAAAGATTTTTTTATTCAATTATTATTTATCGGTACGTTATAACGTTAATTACACAATATATATATTTTATGTATATTATATATAATATATATTTTATGTATATTATATATATTATATATAATATATATTTTATATATATTATATGTATATTTTCTCCATTAATTTCTTTTTCAAGAAGATCGAATACATCTTTCGATTAAACTTTTATAACAAATGAAACGAACTATTAAAACTAATCTGTACAAAAGTCGTTTCTTCAATATTAAAAACCTGAACGACTTTGTCTTCTAAATCCATTTCCAAATTGATTTCAAATTGCACCAACATAATCACGGACTGTCGTATCTCGTCGCAATGCTAATCGAATTTCGAAGCTGTTTCGTACAACGCACACGACACGTTCGACAAAACTTTCCCATGGTGTTTTCGTGCATCGCTCGCAAATAGAGAAGACAAACTAGAAAATACTCCTTCTCCAAATAACTCTTTCTCTCTCTTTGTCAGCATTCTCTTTTTCTCTTTCTCTCTGTTTATTCGAGCCTCGTAGCAGGAACTTTTTAATGGAAGAATAAGAATATCCTTTGACGTGTCCAGGTTAAACTCAAAGCTGATGAATTTGCTGGGAAACGTGGAGAAATGACGAGACGATACTTTAAAGTTGCCCAGGGTTAAAACAGGATTCTCCAGTTGCAAACAAAATTCCTTAACACTAGAACTACTGAGGACTAAAGTACAAAAATTGAGTCAAAGAAATTAGAGTGCGAGGAAAAGATTTATACTACAAACTTTTTTTATTCGTATATTTTATACAAAAATCATTCGAATCTCTCTAAAAAAAAACAAAAAACGCAACATTATACAGGGCCAAAAATCACTTCCTACTGAATCACAACCACGCACAAATTTGAAAATTGCTCTGTTCAACGTTTGAAAGAAATAATTTTTTTTAAAAATAATGAAAAAAATCACGTTTGAACTTAATTTAATTTAAAATCAATAAAATTAATTTTTTCTTATATTTAGATGTTTTATTAAAAAAAAATTGGTGATTTATTAAAAGAATATTATAGAATATTCAGAATATTACATTTAGAATATTAAAAGAATAGGTTTTATTAAAAGAATATTATAGAATATTCAGAATATTATATTTAGAATATTAAAAGAATAGGTGGTTTATTAAAAGAATATTATAGAATATTCAGAATATTATATTTAGAATATTAAAAGAATAGATGGTTTATTAAAAGAATATTATAGAATATTCAGAATATTATATTTAGAATATTAAAGGAATAGGTTTTATTAAAAGAATATTATAGAATATTCAGAATATTATAGAATATTAAAAGAGTAGGTGGTTTATTAAAAGAATATTATAGAATATTCAGAATATTATATTTAGAATATTAAAAGAATATTATAGAATATTAAAAGAATAGGTTTTATTAAAAGAATATTATAGAGTATTCAGAATATTATAGAATATTAAAAGAATAGGTTTTATTAAAAAAATATTATAGAATATTAAAAAGATAGGTTTTATTAAAAGAAACTTTTGGCCCACCAGGTAAGTCTAGTTAAGCGAAATTACTCTAGAAAATTGTTCATTCTGACCGCTTTGGTAGTTCTAGTGTTAATTACCCTAAGCGAAGAACGGAGCTGAGTAACTTGCTGAGTAACGTTCTCCTTTTGTCCATCGATATCGATTCCGACAGCAGAAACCGTTTTAATGGTGTGTTTTTCATCGCCAAGGGAACGTAGAACAAACTGACGATAGGTGAACTCTTTTCTTTCTTTAGATTTTGCACGCGAATAACGAGTATCTCCCTTGGCGGTTAATGGCGAAAGAAACGAGTGGTCGAAACGACGGTTGAATGTGGAATGAAGGTGATTCTTTTCCCGAGTAGTCGAGATCGATGATATTTCCTCGCATCGAGAGGTCTCTTCGGGAATAATATCCTTAAGAGAGGAGAGAATTTTCTGATGGAAGAGAACGGAAGAGATTTATAAACCTGTACAAGTTTTAAGAGAAGATGAATTTCATCAGCTCGGGAAGAGTTTAAACTGTAATTATTACGAAGTTTATTGAAGTTTGTAGTGTGTTGGAGGTATCATAATATATAATATATCAACGAACAAAAGTCGTTGTTTGCAAGTTTACGTTTGTCATTTAAAACAAATGCGACAAAGAAGTACATTTAACTTCGCGCAACGTGAATTTACGAACAATAATATATCCACCACTTATGTTAATTTTCTACCGCGTAAAAATTTTTACCTCGTCGTTTCCCTGAAATTTTATTACTCCTGAATTTCGCTTTCTCGCATCTCCCATGTTTTTCAAATGCCCGTTCTGTTTCAAGCACGTTGCATTTCGTCGCGATCCAATTGTAAAAGCAAATTAAATTTTAATTCAATCGAACGATTACACAGTAATTCAATGAAACTGAAAGAACCGAGTTACGAATTACAATATAATGAAACACGATTGATGAAGTAACTGTAATTCCGCGCAACTCTGATAAGAGTTTCTAACAAGATATTCAATTTTAATGTAGATAACATCTACGTGATATCTTGCAGGTAAAATTACAACAATTTGTCTGTTGTCTGTTGACTGATCGTGAAAAGAGAAGTTTCCAATATTTTAGAAATTAATACTAACGAACACCGCCAGCGAAATGAAACTATGCAAATTTTCGAATTCACGAGTTCTTATTAACAGTAGTTGGCGATGTTTCACAAGTTTGAGATACTTCAACGAGAAATCGTAGAAAACGTAGTTCACCGTCTAATCGGTAAACATCACCTCTATTATCTATCGCTGTATAAACTTTCTAACGATATTTCCGTAATTTCAGTCGAAAGAAACTTGCGAATATTTCTAATAACTTCCCCCACCGCGCTCAACTTATAATTGCGCCTTATTAAATTTACTAGCTTTACACTCGTTAATTCCGTTATTTTTGTCGCTATAAATCATAAGACACTATAAGACACCGCCGCGGTTTAGTCTCGTCAAGTTTTATTCAACTTTGCGACTAGCAAGCGGCTCGAGAACGAAGAATGTGGCAAAAGCACAGTGGAAAATCTCGAACGAGAAAAGGGAACCTCTTTCGATACCATTCTGCGATTTCCCCGATATAGACTCAAAGACCTCGACCTCCGTCGATTGCTGCTTGCAAAATTGATCAGGCGAAACTCAGCTTCGCGCGCTCGAGTTTTGGTGCTTCGCCCTTTCCGAACGGGACAATGCACGAAATTAACACGTAAATATAATAAATTTTACCTCGTTCCATCGATGATTTCTCTAAAACATATAACGGTAACTTGTTCAAAATATCGTCGATAAACGTTAGGGGCATAATACAACTCGCAAGTGGAAAATTGGAAGAATTTTTAACGTTTTAATCAACTGTGTAGGATCTTTGTTACGAATTTATTTCTGTCTAAAACGAATTACTTCGAGAGACAGGCTATGACAAACATCTACGTTGAGGTAAGATGGAAAATTCGTTTTCGTTAATGAATAACAAATAAGACAGTTAAATAAAGTTACTGCAGCACGAAATACGACGATTTTTTTATGTCTTGGAAAATTATACGAAACGTTACTTATTATCATCCGACACTGTTTTGTAATAAAAAGTTTACAGTCAATCGTCATGCTCGTGTCTTTCTTTTAGTATTGCGCAAGTAAACGCTGAAAAATCAAAAAGACACTGTTCACCGAATGAAAAGGATTAATTAATCGAAAGAAATAAATACTAAAGTGTACCAAAGTATTTCAACGTGACAAAAATAACATAATAATCATCTACATCTTGAAAAATTATACAAGACGAATATGGTTTCCCTTGTTTTCACTAGTAAATCTTATTTATTGGGCGACAAATCAAAATTATACATGCGATACGTATTATAAAATATCGAACGATATGTGCACAATCGAGCTCAAGAGTTCTCAGGGTACTTTTTACTTTTAATAACCATCTCAAGTATAAATATTCATCTCAAGTGCAACTGTGTACTTTATGACATAATTGTATAACACTTTACTATTTCTTTGTTGTACAAAGATCATATCATCTGCTTGATTTTTACAATTTTGAAATGAATGTACTATCCCAACTTGTCCCAAGACTTTTGACCTGGAATGCACACGCGCGAGTGAAATGACCTAAACGCGAGTAAGAGTATCAATGGGTCTAAAGAGAAATGTTCAACGACAAATCGTTGAATCGTTCTCCCGCGTGAGGACGAGAGTAAAGAGCGGACCACCTGCTCAGAATCGATATTTACCCTAATTGTTGGCCTTGTTCTATCGGTTTCCCCTAGCGAAGTCACCCTCTCGCACCTGTGGACGAGTGTTCCTTGACAATCACAGGCAGCCTCTTGGACCGAGAGATCAATGTTCGTGGTCTCAATACCAGACGTTTCCCAAAATGGGAGAAGCAATCGTTAGAGAGCAGAAATGTAAACGAACAATGGTAAACGGTGATTAATTGCTCAGGGAAGAGTTCAATTTGCGATTAATCCGTTAATTACTCCTGCACAAATCGCGATGCTGCTTTCCTTTGGATACCATAATAATGTCCATCGAAGAATATCCAATATCTTAACGGCAGATAGCGTGGAGGAAGTCTGAATCAGAATTTCGAATTTCGTGGCTAACTTCAGTACAATTGGAATTTAATTCTCGACTAATCGATGAATCAACCTGTTAATAGGAAGGAACTCGTTGCCCAAGTTCCTTGTCCAAGGACTTGATGTACAAATCAATCACTCGTACATAATAATTTCTTCATCTTTATCGTTTTATGTTTCAGCTCAATTCGTATCAGCTAATATCGATCTGAAGAAGCTTTCAATTTGAGGAACATTTAGTTCGGTGACACAGGTTGAGCGGCCTAATTATCTCCCTTGATACGAGTCACACACTGCTGCTTTTCGTTCCATCGGAGTGGCACAATAAATATGTGTAATACATACGGTGCTCTTTTTTTTTTTTTTTACAGCGTCGAGCAATAACGTTCGACGAGTCTCGAGTGAAAAGAAAAAAAAAAAACGGTGCAAACAATCCCGTTTGACGGAAAACTCGATCCGAGTTAGAATTTCAACCAATTGCCGCACGAAATAAAAATAGTCGATTGCGAATTTCACCTGTATCTCTCTCTCTCTCTCTTTCGCGAGCGAACGCCGTCAGTTCCCTTTGACCCGGCCCTCCGGCTGCCAGAGCAGAGATCACAATTAATTCAACGCGTCGAGCGAGTAGCAACGTCCATCGAGCGTTACATTGTATAATTACGACGCATTCTGTTCGAATCGAACGTCGTCGAAAGATTCGTCGTTTCAGTAACAGCCGTTGATTCGATTTCGACACCTCTGCCCAGAGAAACGCCCCTTCACACACACACTCACGCGTGCGCGCGAAAAAAGAAATAAGAAACAATTACGAAATCAAGAGAAAGATCCATCGATATAAGGAGTACGTCTGACCATACGCGCGCACACACACACACACATGCACACGCAACAAAAAACGATTACGAAATCAACAGAAAAAAGAGAGAGAGAGAGAGAGAGAGAGAGAGAGAGATCGATGATAAACCTCTCGACAAAGAGACGCGAATCCTACTTAAAACGTGGATCAAAGGACATACGCACACACACGCACACACACGCAATAAAAAATCAATAGGAAAAGAGAAAGATATCAATGATAAACCTTTTAAGAAAAGAAACGCGAATCGTACATAAAACGCGGATGAAAGAGGCTCCGTCTGACCAACCGTCTACTCGTACTACTTCGTGAGTAGTCGCCCCTGGAGAATACGAACGGGAAGTTCACCGATCGAAATCGCGCGATCGAACAATAAGCTACTATTGACAAACAGTTTACCGGGCGTCAGCTGGACTCGATATCAACCGGTGGAACAGTGGCCGGGGACCTTCTTCTATCGGGCGGAAAGCATGTCCTCTCCCTCGTGCGCTCGTCTCGTTCACCACGTACTACTGCCTTTAGTATCCCCCGACGATTATTATTATTTCTATATCTGTCCGGCACTCTGTACCGGCTGCTTCTACGCGCGATTACTAAACGTTCTTTCGAAATATCGTATACAGCCCGTATACGACGGAGAGTAGCCAGCGGACTCGGCTGGCGTACTGGTCTGTCTGGCTGCGACTAAACTACACTCTCGCTCGTGTACGCGCTCCCTACGCCAGGGATCGTGTGCCACCAGAAAACGGCGATTCGTGGATCGTAGCTGGAGCCAGGGGGTGGTGGTGATGGTGGTGGTGGTGGTGGCGGTCGAGTATGGCTGGTAGGGTGAAGTCGAGCGCTCATCGACGAGCAAGACAGAGAAAGGGTTTCTCCGACGGTAGACAAGGACAAGGCTAACGGGGCGATGTACAAGTGTTCGCTAACCAGCGACATTGTGTGCGTTCTCGCGGTGTACGTGTATAATGGGCGAGCCGGGGGAGCGAGAATCGGACGAAGAAGGACAGAGAACGAGTATGCGTGCGCCGCAACAGGTTACTCTCCCCTTCGATACGCTCCTGGATATCCTCCTCCACCCTTTTTCTCCCTCTCCTCAACGCCGTCGGCGGCGTCTTTTCTTCGACCTTCTCCCCTCACGCATCCACGAGGTGTATCCTTCTTTCTGTCATCCTTTTCTTTTGCCTCCATCCACCAGTTCTCCACTCGTCTCGATCCCCTTCAAATTTCACCCTTAATATCTCCTGTCCTCTTTCAACCCTCTCTCTTTCTCTCTATGTCCGACTTCCCTTATTTGAGATTATACGTATCCCTAAAGTCGTTCTCTACGCTTTCGTCTACGTTTATTCAGTTACACGGTTTCTCTCGCCTTTTAACCTAGTTTCCTTTATATAATCCCGCGTGTACTTCAACCTTCGGAAAGGTTGGAAATTTTGACGAACACCGGCGTGTAACGATTGGTTTGTTTGACCTTTAAAGATGGTGAAGATCGAGTCAAATTTTTCGAGCTCATGGATATATTTCAACTGGCGTTACAATTGAGTGTATTGTTAGATGATATTCGAACACAACGCGTGCGAAGCGCATAAAATATTCAAAGTACTTTAAGAACAAATCCTATAACAAATCTTATAATGTGAATTATTCGAACTGTAATACTTCTTGCAATATTTGACTATTATTATATAACTTTACGTCTCCCTTTCCAAATTTCTCCTCTCTCACGTCCTTTTTCAACTTTTCGTCTCTCTCGCGTCTTTGAAGTTACATTTTCATTCTCTTCCGTCAAAAATTGCGACCTCTGCTCTCAATCTTGGATCTCTCAATTTATTCCTTCATTTCACCAAAATTTCGCTTACAAGACAAAGAGACTATCAGTTGGTTGTTATTCTAATCTACTCTAACTTGAGGTCTGATAAATAAATGTTTCGATTTTTATCTAATAGTGTATTAGATAAAATACAAGCAACAAGCAGAGAAAATAAGATTTTTAAAAGGACTTTAAAAGATTTTAAAAATAAAATTTTTAAATTTATGAAATTTTCAGGTTACATGACGTTATAGAGATATAAGTACTGATTTTGCTTTGATAAAATCGAAGATACGTACATATGTTCGAGAGACAACGAGAGAGAGAGAGAGAGAGAGAGAGAGAGAGAGAGATAAACTTTGATTTTCTATTAAATACGTGTCGATCGAACGAAGATAATAAATTTGACGAGAATCTGCATGAGCATCTATTGCTTAGCTGTTGATGAAAGCCTTTTGATGTAACTAACTTCGTAATCCAATCTCCCGATTGATCATTACGCTTAATTCACATCTGAATTTTCCTACCAACGTCTCAACTTCCATCGTCGAAGACTTATCTTCGTGATGCTCTGTGACCTTTACGAATGCTTGTCAGTCTGTGTAACTTGCTTGAAACATAAATGTAGACGTTGGTCATTTGCAAGACCGGTTTATACGGATCACTGTGTAAGATCCGAGCAACAATCGTACCCCCGATAATCTCATATTTGAGGTGTGTATCGAGCTTAACATGTATATATTTAACTCTGCTCCTCTCCACTTCACTTCTTCATCATATTTTATTTTCCAAGACATTTTTTCCTTTTTACAACGCTTTATATACGAAAGGTTATAAAAACTATATCAAGATAAGATCAAAGTGTATTCATTCAATTTAACATCCGTTTTGAGTCGTATAGATTGGAGAAGAAGATCGAAGTACAAAATCTGTATCACGAAGAGATTGAAATCTCTTGATCATGTGGATGATCTACAGAAAAATACGTAATAAATAAATACGCTCTTGCTAAAAGAATTTTAAAATTCTTGCGTTTTTAATGAAGTCTCGGTATTTGACGCAGATGATGAATTTTAAATTGTAAAAACTTTTTGATGGTATTGTGAATACACTATTATATCAATTATGCAATGTATACTTTCTTTATCTTGTTAGCTATCAAATTAAACGAATTATTATGTTGGAAAACAATCGAAATAAATATAACATATTTATGCAAAGAGTCCTCTACCCATTTTTAGTTATCTTTTGATGTATATGAAACGTATTTAAACGTGTAAAAATATCTAAAAGTTACTAATAGTGATCCATATAATCTGTATTTAATAAACGAAATAAATCTCAACGTCATTTCTATTTCTACAGTTAACGACAAATACATTAAAGGAGAATAAACATTTATCTATGTATTTTGCAAAATTTCTAAAAGTGCATCGTTGTAAAATTGATCATACCGACATTTTCAAAGTCACGAGAATCAAATCGTTCGTTCGTTTTCCTAAATTTACCATCGATTATTAATATTTAGCCTGCTGAATGTTTCATAATTCATCACGCATTACTGCGCGCCCAATGTACATTTAATCACGCGCTTATGTTCATTAATTTCATCGGCGGTATACGTTATCCCGAAAATAACGAGAGTTTAATTGCCATCCGTTGCGACGCGAAATCATCAAAAATATAATAGCACGGTTCTCGTTAATACACGCGTATTACCATTCGATGCAATCATTTTCGCGTAATACCCTAATAACGAATTTCTCTCGTTTAACAATTTTTTTTTTTTTTTTTTTACGAAGTTTTCAGCTTTGAAGTAGGTAGCTTTAATGCTTTCGATTGCCATTTTTGAAATTTCACAGTGCAACACCGAGAGAGGGTCGAGCGCCATAAATTTCACATCTTGGATATCATCGTACTTAACACGTAATTATTAATATTTATTTTTTTACAAGAAAAAAAAAATACTTTTCTACATATATTTTTTTACAAAACACGTGCGTTTCGCAACTGCTATTGAAAATGCAAGAAATTTCGAGACTAAATAAGTAACTGATTTCTAAATTGTTTATTTCTAAGTTACAACGTAATTGAATTACTGTGTTATTGAAGTACGATGCAATGAAATTCAATTGACACAAATGCGAATAATATATTAATATTATAATATTATCCAATATATTATTCTTCAGAGTCAGATTTTACTCAATAACATGCACACATCTTTGTCTACGTAGTCCCACGTAAATTTTTCTCTCACTGAATATTTTGTTATATAATAATCAAATATCATCATCGCATTCATTTAATATTTATTTCCATCTTACTGTATCAAAGAGAAATCAACAACAAACATTAGATATTTAGACCCTCCCGTCAAGTTAATTACACACGAAATATTCCAATAAATAACCATAGATACTAAAAAAGAAGAGAAAAAAAACTCACGAGCTTCCCTGGCAAATCAATTTCCTCTCGACCAATGTCACCGACGATGCTCCGGGCTGCTTTGAGAGACAAGAAGCCGAGCACATTGAACGAGCTTGAATATATATGAACGCACAAGCGTTCCCTCGTGATTTTTAATCTTCACGAGGAAAATTTCATTTCGAAGGAGAAAGATAGAAAGAGAGAGAGAGAGAGAGAGAGAGGGGAGGATCTGTCGCAAGGTCAAGGGACCGAGACTTCACGATCGTCCTTCTCCTGTTCAAGGTTGCGTTCTCCTCTCATCTCGTCTCCGCCTTTTCTCGTTTACAACGATGGATAAAGTTATTAAATCTCGCGGGAAATTACAGAGAGAGAGAGAGAGAGAGCCAACTCGAAAATTTCCCCCGCAGGAGTTATTACCAACTTCGCGAACCACTTATCGCTGGGGACGATGAGTTTAAACGATTTTTCAAGCAACACCACCGGCAACTCATAAACTCGACACGACTACTGTGTTCCACTCGGTCGAGAACAGCTCTTGGCGACGCGCTCTCTCTCTCTCTCTCTCTCTCTTCGCGTAATTTTATAATCGGCCTCCGCGCGTCACATCGTTTCACTCGGGACTGTGTTGTTTAAAACGAGGTCCAGAACGATTGCGATACGGCGATCAAGGGGAATTATGCGAGAAGCATTCCAATTTGGTTTCATATTCTCTCTAAATTTCAATTTTTACTTCCCGACCTAAATTCCTATTGGAAACGATTTTTACTTTGATCTTCATCGGTCCTTCATCTTGATTTTTAATTATTTGTGTGTTATACTAATGACTGTCGTAGCGAATCGGCAGTGAAAGTGGGCTGTTTGAGTATAGAATTGAAATTGAGCAAGATATAATAACAATACGTTGTTTGAATATAATGTGTTATAATGATAGAATGGTTTTTCTTTCTTATTATCATGACGTGTCTGTGGAAATATTGAATGAAATTTGCAGAATCCTGAAAAATATTCAAAGTAGAATATATTCATGTTATAATATTTAGTTGGATGAAACGAATTTTTCTTAGATTCTATTTCCTAAAAAAATAAAAAACCGCAATGATTATTATACGCTAGAATAATTTACAATAATAATTCTAACTTCTTATTAATATAATACTACATCTATTTGCATTTCTTTCTTCTAAAGAGAACGAAATATGCAAAACTTCTGTAAATTGTACATTGAACATTTACACATTACACGAATGTAAATTGATACATTCATATAAATTTGTACATTACATGCAAATTTAGATTACATACGCGCGTAGCCTATCTTACGTCCCGCAACAAAGAAACTTATTAAAATTCAAGTTTTCTGAACTTTTTATAAGACAAATCTCTTTGACCTTTTTAGCTCTTCGTTCTCCTCTCTTATATATTTTTCCATGCACTCATTCGTCTCGACATTTCACCTAGCACTTAATATGCATATGTC